ACCAAGCAAGGACATGATCATCAATTCGGAGTCAATTCCGACCCCGCACGTCCAAATTGACTCCAAAAGCTAAAAAGAGAGGCGGAAACCTTGAGGGGAAAGGTCAGCAACAATGAGTCTTTTTTCAGTTGGTAGTGGACTTACTTCCAAGGCGTTGCAGGCTTCATACGCTCCAGGCTCAGCACACATTTAGTGATTTGGTTGGGCCATTTTTTGTACCATACTACCATTGAGAAGCGACTATTATAAATCTGGTACGTCGAAGAAACCAAGTGTAGTTAAAAATTCTGATGTGCCCTTGACCCAGGCGAGAACCTTCCTGAGCTCTCTTCCGACTCCATAAGAGTCCGGCCCCGCGCGCTGTTAGGGTGCCGATAAGATCGAGCCCCAGACGAAAAATTCGGTGGACTCTCAAGACACGCAATAAAGCCTCGACAGCGGAGTGTGAAGCTTTCATAGTATATATGTAACTCTTGGTTTTTGTGATCCAAGGATTATCTGTGAGCTAGTCGTTATATTTTATCTGCAGTTGCCTTAAGATGCCTTTTGCTGAAGTGAATGGATCGTATTTAGTATTCCTTACACTTCACCCTCGTCGACTTAGCTGGCGTCGGAGCTCCCAAGAGCTCCTTAATTGACCTGCATCGAAGCGGTTGTCACCTGGAAACCACTCAGAAACGTCTAATCGGCCGCATGTTTGTGCACACAATCTCCTCTCCCACCTTTCAGGTGAATAATCTTCTCGTGACCCCATGCCTATCAAGCCGGCGAACCGCGAAGAATCTTCAAGGTGTTTCACATTCTCCCATATGTCTTCTGCATCTCTCGCGGTCGGCCGACTGGTGGGTAAGTCAACGTAGAGGGAATATTCGGCCTATTTCCCCAAGATCTCGGACCACGCCGCCAGCTGATAGTATTGTGGTCAGAAGAGATAACATAGATGATATGAAGCCCGTACTTCCAGTGATTTCGCTGCAGGCGCAAGTGCTTCAGCTGAGGCGAGATATTGTTCATTACAATGTACGGGGGCTGCGGCCATGAAAATCCAGCTATATGGGCCTGTGTCAATGATGGAAATCGCAAATTTTTGAATTGCGGAGCGAGGGAACGGGTACGGCGGGAGTCAGGGAAAATGCGAGTGGTTGGGCCCATTCCAGCGGGGCAGCCAGATCGAGAGCGAAGAAATAGGCCTCATAGAAGAGGCAGCGGAAATGGAATGAGTTCTGCGATAGACATTATGTCCTGGCCATTCGCCGAGTGGATGCTCAAGATACGCAACGAAGATGCGATAGCCGCAAGTATGCCATGTACGGCCTTTTGGATATCCTGGTTTCCGCGAGCCAGCTCGGCTGAAAAACTGTAGGTCACGATCTCGTTTAGACCCCCCTTACCAATAACCCATTGGGCGTCCACAATCATCTCCTGTTTTTCTTCCAAGGTGAGGGGTTTGTATTCATTGCCCTCCGAGTCGCTGCTGCTGTCTGAGGTAGTATTGAAACCCTCTTCCTCGCCATCTTTTTCACTTGGTCTGACACTATCGTCGTCAGAATCGACGTCGATCGATGCAGTTTCATCGTCCGAGTAATTGTCATCGCTTTCATCATCGAGGAAAGGATGAGGCCATGTGATGTGCAGATATTGGACATCATTGAACCCAGGAGGGAGGCTCTGCACGATCGAATCAAACGTGATAATTTGCTTCGCCCTGCGCAGGCAAATCGATTGGTATTTGAATGGTTCATCAGGAAAAGGTGATTTCTCCGATAGATCGCCGGTTAGATCTGTAGCCAGATATAGAAAAAGTAGGCACTGTAATTTAGCCGAGCGCAATATCTAACTGCATTGGTCATGATAGCATGGCCATGTCATTTGATAGTACCTAGAGCTGATGAGGAAGCAATATCTTATTAGTCGGATGAATAGTTACAGCAAGATCTATG